ATTGTGGGAAAATATTTGGGAAATCTGGTCAATTACCTAATGACATAATGGTATCATCTAAACCTTGTATATCTAGTGTTTCCCTGTTGGTATTTGCTTTGATGTGAATAGAAGTTGATATCCAGCCCCATACAACTCCCCCCCCCCCCCCCATCTAGATGTGTATATGATCGATGTGTCTAGCTACGGAGCTGCTATCCCGACTTCATTATCTCCATAAGGAACTTTCAAACTCATTAGAGAATTGCTTATTTTAGATTAGGAGCATACACGGTACTAAGGGAAGGCAAAGTAACACAGAAGAAAATACCATCTTCCTCTATGTAAAAGATGGACACTTGCATTCCTAAACTTTAAGTACCGTATATATGCTCGTGTATAAAGCGACTCGTGTATTAGACAACCCCCGAGTTTGAGCGCAGAATTTTGTAGGTCGAGAGTATAGACGACCCCCTGTTTCATCGTCGGACATTTAAATGTTCATCAAAGTCTTTCCCCCGTATTTAAAATTGTGTTCCTTGATATTATTATACCAACATTTAGTAGGTTCATTGCAGTAGTATATCCACGTGTTACCGACAACCTGCACAAAAGACGAACATGATTTGAAAAATGTGTTACAAGCTAGTTAGGATCCGATATAAAGGATCAGGTATCAATCATCCACCACTATATGCACTTTGTAGGTATACGACAATAAAGATACAATACGAGGTAATATAGTTATAATTGAGGTTTAATTTCTCAAACAAATGAACAAATGAGCATCTAACGTGTGGATGCACAGCGTCAAGATCAATACTACTTGAGACTTGGTTTCTCCAATGTATAAGCATCAAATGTATGGATGTACGGTGTCAAGAATACTACAGTTTCACCTACAGGCATACAATGCTACTACAATTTGGCATATAAACTATAAGGTAATAATTCCTAAGTACATCTAACGTATAGACACACAGCATAAAATAAAGTATTAAGGATATGTTATCAAGTCCTTGACTGACTACTGGCTTGGCCTGTGTACGCGTTGCTACCATACCACGCGTCCTTTAGCGATGTACATTGGACCACATCCAACCGGCTTAGCTTTACAATCTACAGCCCACGTGCTTGAATCGCTTGAAGCAATTCCTGCCGTCGTACCACAATCGCTCTACAAGGCTAGAACACCCAGGCTCAATCTGTTGCTAATTCCAGGATATCTCATTCAACGAGGTGTGTCTTTCAGTTGAATCTCACCCTCCAATGAGCAGAACTAGCCGCAATCTCGAAGACGATTTCCAGGTTACACCAACGTTTCACCATGGACCTAATAGGTCCATGGTTTCACGTTTCGCCCTAGTAGCCAACACTGAAGAGAGCCACTTCCACCTGTTGCACATTTATATACGCAATAAGCCAAGTATGGAAGGCCATCGATCCATAATAAATCGTAGGAAAGCCAACACGGCAAAATACTCGTGGCAAAATACTCGTAACAAAATGTATGTCGTGCATACCGATCCCCTATTTTTCGATCGTAATTGACTATTTTAGGCCTCGTCTTATACGCGACTATTTTATGTTTACTTTACAGTATACTCTTTAGATTTGTTTGCAATATTTTAAACAGTTTCAAGTTGGTAAAAAAAATATAAAGCAAACAACTGTTTCTTTAAAATGAATAATTGGTTGCCCCATGTTGTCTTTTGAGACCACTTTTATCTTCAGTCTTCATTTCGGGGTTGCAGGTTTGGTTACCCTCTAATTATGCTGCTTGGAGACCACTTCAAGCACATGGTCTCTATTCAGAGGTTTCTTAATTGAGACCGAATCCCGAGACCGCCCCAAATTTCAAATAAACAAAGTGGTTTCGAATTGGAGGGCGGACTGTAATTATTACCTCATCATAAACTGTGATGTAAAGAGAGGGCATAAACACCATCATGTTGTTTATTTTTTGTTTTTCACGGTCTTGTTCTACATTTTTTTACATTGTTGTAACGCAGTATTCCATTTCTTCTTATCTTCTTCATAGAGCATTATCGTCCAATAAATTGGTGCATATTGACTCTGAGGCATTTTCTGAGTTGGGAAAGTTAACGTGGTTGTAAGTAGTCAAATGCATTAAACTATAATCATTTTAAATACAATTTTAAGTATGTCTAAATACTTACACTTATATAAAAATGCAGTTCATTTCAATTTTCCCAGTTGCGCACACATGAAAATACAGATGCCAAAACAAATAAAGTTTCAAGCAATTTCGTATGTAAAATTGTTACAGTACTTAAATCATTTTCTGACAGCTAGACTATATACTGTATCACTGTCAAGATAGGTCATTATTTGACCCACAAGTAACATATCACTTTTGTCTGTTTCATTCAGGTTTGACTTCAGCTTTAACCTCTGCTCCCTGGTTTGATATTAAACCACACCAGTAACAGTAGGTCCTAGTCACTAGTATACTTTTGTATAATATAATACTGTACATAGGCTATTCTAGGCACATTTTACGTTTTGTTTTAAATTTCGTTAAGAATCACATTATCATTTTTTTTTCTTTTGCAAATTGACAAAAAGCGGTGATTGAATAGGATAGGGCTAGAGGCAGTTGTGTTGTCCTGTAAATTTCTTCCATAAAATACAAAAAGATTAACAAATGAAATGAAATTATATGTAATCATGTAGATTTATTTTACATAAAAAATAAACTGTCTCTATTCCAAAATATAAAATTCGCTTTCAAAACTGGATGAAATGTTATTGTTTATAGCCTACTCTAAATATTATGTGGAAAATTTCTTATGTAGGGATAAATTTATTCATTGTGTGACACAATTTTTGACCAATTTATGCATAAAATATAACTAAATGAAACTAAACAAATAAACTACTAAGTAATGTGCAGTGTGTACTGTATGTGAATCAGTTTTAAGCATAAAATTTGTAACTTTCAACATTTGGCTTCCAATATTTTTGGTGAAATTTTGAACTGAGTTGATCTAAACTAGTAAAAATATTTTCTATTAGGGCCTGTGCATTTTTGGCTTATAAAAAAAAAAAATAATTAGGGTCATGTTTAAACAATACATGAACTATATACTCCTAAACACAATGTATAATTTTGAATTACAATGAACCCATCTAAGATGTGACTGGATGCATTTTATACGAACCTAAATTCTGTAGCGTGGTCCCATGGTAAATAGTGAAGACCGTTTTAATCATAATAATGCGAACCCAACTTTCAAACACAATATTTAAGAAGTTGATCCCCAACAGTGAACCCATCTTTTTAAAAATATTTACCTTTTACACATAAATTTAAATTAAATATAGACCCATCTTGAAAAATAGAAAAATTAATTTTACGCATAAAGCCAAAAAAAAAAAAAACCCAACTTATTATTATCGTAACACATTGCATTATATACATTATGTTTTATTTTATGCTACTGTATTTTTATTACGGTATAATAATAAAATGTCTAATAGTTGCACAACAACAATTATTAAGATAATTATAAATATTTTAAACGTATTGTTCCATTAAAAATACCCTCCCCTAACAACAAAAAATCTTTTTTTTTACTTGCTTATTTTGATGTAACAAAAAAAATTAAAAAATGAACGTAGAAATGTGTATATTTTTAAAATTTGTACCCATAATTTACAGCGAAAACTGATAGAACCACCTCCAATCACTGGAAGTATTTTATTACATTTATTCAGAGTGGCACCAGTGGTGGAGTTTGGTGGAAGTAGGGGGTTGGGGAGTGAGCTGCCTGAGAAAAACAATTCGTCTGGGAGAAAACAGTTATATGTTTTTTAACATATTATGTTAAAATCTAAAATCTCTAAAATCCATTAGATAGTGTTTTTGTTTCGAGAGATTTGCCCATGAATTACTTTCGACTGATTTTGAGCAAAAGCTGACGACGTCGGCAAGTATCCAGGTTTCCTTTAAAAATCGCTAAACTGTCACTACGGTGTTTTCAGTGCAATTGCTGTACTGCGTAGCGTCCCGGCGCAACCGGGAAGGCTACCCGATTCAACTGACCAATCAGCATCACCGAAAGCTGTTGGCGATAGCATGTAGCGACTGTATGAAAAATATGCCTAAAACGTGGTTTAATTTCGTTTATTTGTCTCAAACCTCAACATGTACAAAATCAGATACAGCAAAAATAACTACAATAGCAAAAAAAAAAAAAAAAAGACTAAAAAAAAAAAGACAAGTGAGACAGGACTTTCCAAAAGTAGAATTACTGTAAGGACTGTCGAGTGAGGTCCTTTGACAAAAGCGAATGTACCTATCTTTAAAAATGCTGACCTTTTACACATAAAATCAAATCCAAGTATGGCACCATATTAAAAGGTAGACCAATTTATACAAAAAAAAAAGAAAGAAAATGAGAATTTTATTTAAAATTATTAACCCTTTGCATACATACATTATGTTTTATTTTTATGTTATAACTTATAGTGAATAAAAAAAATGTAATATTTGCAAACTAGTTTTCCTTAAATTTGGTACATTGTCGCTACCGTGTCTTCAGTGCAACCGCAGTGTACTACATAGCAGTTCTCAACGCAATTGGAAAGGCTCCCTGATTCGACCGAAAAAAATCAGCAAATCCGAAAGCTGTCAGCGATAGTAGCATGTAGCAAATGCATGGAAACCAAGGTTGACACTCTCGTCAGCAAGTCAGTCCCTGTCGGCGATATCCAATCCCCGTCAACCAAATCCTAGCATCACCCCTACGGGTAGGCCAAGTTTGAAACTTTTACAACATTTTTTGTGGTTAAGAAAAATACTGAAAAACTTGAAAAATCGAGCAAATCTGAAAGTCAGCAATGGAAATGGTGAATATCATGGTACATACTTTATAATTCACTGATTTTTTTGCTCAAATAACTTTTATATGATTATACTACTTTCTGAAAATAAGACAACTTGGCCATTGTGTGTTAATTTTACGGTTGGGGTTTCTTTTCTAAATAAAAAAAAAAAAAAATTGGAAAATCTTTAAAATGTACAGCTTTAGATTTATGTTAAAAGCAATGTCAATATTATTATTGAACAATATACAATAAGCTAGTTATAGTAAAATTTGACCACAATTAAATATTTTACAAATATTTTTTTCTATTTCTAAATAATATAAGGCCAAAATAGAAAAAAACAAACACACTTGTTTAGTGTCACCACCGGGCCGTAATTGTTGACCAAAAAATAAAATTTAGATTTTATTTTAAAAATAGGTATTGTCCAAGAAATGCAAGTCAAAATCAATACCAGTATATTTAAGTGATTAAAACAACAATTTCACAAACCAGGTGAAATATTTGTGTAGGCCTATTGAAAATGATTTTTGATTTCTGAATGAAATTTTAATTCTTTATTTTGATTTACTTTGTTCATGGAGTTAAAAATTATAAATATTAATATACTGTATCCTGTTACATTGTAAATAATAAACTTGCAAGTAAATATGGGAAATTTTGTGTTATTAATTTTTTAAGTTTTCTGAATATTACAGGAAAATTACTGTAACTCTGGCCAAGTACATTTTTATTATGGATTATTAGTGTTACAATAAGTAAAAAGGAATCATGTGGCTTTTAAATGACATAAAAAAACCCCGTACATTTTGAATCGTTTTTATATATAGGCCTATTATACCTGGGAGAAGGCAAATGTTTTCGACTGTGCTCATCGGCACAATTGTGAATGATGACCAAACGAGGACAACGGTGGCCCAAACGAGCGGAAAGTCCTAGGCCCAATACCCCCCCCCCACCACAAAATAATTACAGAACGAATTCGTCACTCCTCGTGTTTGTTGACGATTTTAGCTTGTAGGCCTAGGACATGAACAAGAGGACAATTTTTTTTAAAGTTCGCGCCTAATACGATCTAGTCTTTGCAGTGACTGACCTCCAGGTCCCTAATCCCTGAAAAAGTATACTATGGAACGCCATGCAAATAAGTAATATGGAACGCCATTTGTCCCAAAATCGATTTATTCTTAAGCATTTCAACTGATTAAGACAAAGATTAGGGACTGGAACCCAGTCTAACATGGAGGTCACATTTCAACTGATAAGCGCTTTTTTTGTGTTGCAGCTAAAAGTGCACAGCCAAAATCGGTTATTTGCTGTTCAAACACGCTATCCATTGCGTGTTTTCAATCGATTTTTTTAATCGCTTTTTTCAAACTTGTCCCGTTTCTACTGCAAGAATAAAAGCGATTTTTCGTAAAAGCGATTTTTAATCGATTATTTCTTTCCAGTAGAAAGAAGCCCCTAAGTATAAAACCCAAAACTGAGCAGAAACTTGTCATTACGACAATATTTTCTAGCAGTGCAATTTTATTCCCTGAATTCGACCTCAAGGTAGCTTCCTCATGGGCTAACGGTACACTGTGGGTGATCAGTCAAGCGCGTAACGGATTTGGAACAGTTCATTTGTAATTTAGGGGGTTCCACAACTACAAATTAAACGCCATAACATTTTCATATGGACTTTCAATTTTTAATCTAAACAACATACATAATTATCTAAATACCATTCAGTATCACATTTCTTGAGTAAAAATCTTTGGTAGATACAAAACAGTTTTATTTTTACCCTCAAAAGAAGACATATTCTACCCTGCTTTACAGTCTTCACCACTCACATGAACGTAGTCATGTACACATAAGAAAATGGAATCGACCATCTCAAACCAGTGAACCGCTCGAAAAGATGGGGTGTTTTACAAAAACTGACATTTATATACTACTCGTACTAAAAATCTATATGTTTTTACTGCATATAATTTACATCATTTGAATCTCTATCCTTTTCTTTTGCTTATGATCATAATTTTAGTGTTTAAAAATAAGGATAATTTAGTCATTTTATCTGTTTTTTCCAGAGTATATTTCAAGCTCTGCATTACGTGAGCGTCAGACTGCCATATGCTTGTAATGCTTAAGCATATGGTGAGGAGTTTTAGATGATTTTCATAAATCTGATTGGTCCGATAAAACTACTCAACCGATCAATCTTATATTTAGAATACATTTAGAAGACAAAAAGGGCTTTCGAATGGACTT